TCGGACGGCTTTGCACTATGCAGCCGAGAAGGGCCACTTGGAAGTTGTGCGATTGTTGCGTGAGGTTCGAGCTGGAGCAGAAGATGCAGCAGAAGACTCAAGTTCAATTGGGCTTTGAATGCAACGTCTCATCCAATGCACAGCAGGTCTCACCACCAGTACTGCGCAGGTCCGACCGGTCCCGTGTTAAAGCTGGCGGCCCCAGTCAGCAGAAGCATGTGCAACTTGTGGGCTGCTATAGAGGTTCATGAAGGAATTCCCAGGTTTTTCGAGGCTTTGTAAACAATTATACCTGGAGAAGAGTGGTAAACTTCAGTGCAGCATTTGCTTCCACCAGTCCGTTGATTGATCTTGCTATACCTCTCCCACTCTGGTTGTTTAGTCTGGAAGAACATGGGGTGTACATTTGGATTATTGGCTGGATTGGTTGTAAGAGGTCGTGAGATATCTATGTTTCCTCGGCTAAAAGTCTTGCATATTCTACACTGGTCTTTATCTCAACGCTCTTGGCACACGCTAAAAAGCACGAAGCTACAGTAGCTCAAACTTTTGGATGAACTACTTCACCAAAGGATTTGCTTGAGCGCACGAAGGAGTTCACGCAACGCAGTGAAAACTCACACCCCAGCGCAGCGATGCGCAGCCATATTCCGCGCATGGACTCAGGATCGCCTACTGCAGGGACTCACGAAGCAACCCAGACCTGTTCAGCTCCTCATGGACCGATTTCTGCGGGACATTTGCGCTCCACGCGTCGCGGAGCTCTATGGACCAGGCGCGAGCTGGCGCTGGCGGCACTGGCGGCCCATGTGGCGTGCCATTGAGATCGCCTTGTTTCTATTGTGCAAAGGTTTCGGAGACAGGTGTACGGAGTTTTTGGGGTTGTGATGGTGACAGCAAAACTAATCGTTCTTGTTATTAGATCTTGTTAGAGAAACTGTTAGAAACCATTCACAAGGGTCTTTTGACGGGGCTAACACTACACTAGATCACTATTCACTATAGGGTCTTCCGGCCCTTCATGGTTCCCATCCCATGGTTTTGATGTCGGCTGGCAGGCCTCGAGGAGATCTACTACCAGGCCTTCCCGTGCATTCGCATCGTGCAGCCCGGAGAGTTTTCCATCGGGCCACATGCAGATGTGCCTAGGTCCTGCTTGAGAGAGACAGGGTTTGGATATGTCCATAGAGTCATTTGTGAGGACCGCAACAGGATCATCAAAAAAAATGGTTGAAAGGAAGAAAGTACCAAATCATACCAAATCGTTTGATCCAGATATAGGATGTATTAAGATGAAATTAACTCTTTCAGCTTTGCCCTTTGACTCACATCCACCTCAACGTACAACGACCGAAGCGTCCGGCTTTGCGGTTCACCAGGGCAGCGGGAAAACATGACTGTCCTACCCAGGAAAGGTGGGTAAGCTTTAAAGCACTTTTATTGAGGATTGGTTTCCTTCCTTGGAGTGGATGGAAATTGAGCTTTTGCCTTTGGCAACGTCTTGCCAGACGTTTGGACCCATGGTTGTGTTGCAGCTGGTGGTATTGTTGAGGATGACTTTGGAGAATTAAAAAGGTGAATAAAAGGTAAAGAAAAGGTATCTGCAAAAGCTGAGACAAGAATCCAACATAAGTAGCAAAGCTGGGAAAAAGGTACTACAGTGCGTGCATTTGGGAGGCAGTTGTGTACAGATGCGCCCTGACGGACAGACCCACCTGGCTCAAAGAGCAAAGATTTCTTTCTTTTCTCTCCATCTCACTCCTTTCTCTCTCCTCTCTCTCTCTCTCTTTCTATACGTCTAAGGTCCGTCTATCCGTGTTCGTGTGGGCTTGCCGGGTTACGGGAGCAGCCTGGTATCGAGTTGACTCTGGCCATCTCACGCTTGGGAATTGGTAAGTGCTGGTGCACACCCTCAACAGCCACCTTTTTTTTCACTTTTTGAAAACCATCAAAAACTCGAGGAAAAGGTGAAAAAAGGGTGAAAAAAAGTAGAAATAAAGGTGATGCAAAAAGGTGAAGAAAAGGTGCGCCCAGTGGCAAAACCAGAAGTAAGCCCAAGTAAGTAAGTAGGCTGGACCCAGATCCAGGTACAGTTAGGACAAGTCTAGGAGTGTAGGACTTGACTAGGGCAAGAGCAGCAGCAAAAGCAGTTGAACGCATCTCTGCACTTGGAAGCCGTGTGCCTCTTTCAAGGTCCTCTCCTTTTTTTTACGTAGCTGTTCCAGGGCGACCTTTTCTTCTCCTTTTTTTTAGCTTTTTGCAATCATCTTTTTTTCACCTTTTTTTTCACCTTTTATATTTTTCAAGGTTTTATATGCAATACCCAAACTTGGACAAGTCAAACCCATGGCCTGAGACAGGAAATGGCAAAAGGACATGGTTTTCCCTCATGTCACCTCCCTCAACATGCACAGGTTGTCAACAGTGTTAACTGATCCAAAGGCAAACGGCTCGGGAATCGGCTGTAGGCTCGGGAGTCGGCTGTAGGTGGCCTATGGGCACCACCCCTGCAGCATCAACTTCTACATCCCACTGACGCCCATCGGTGAAACTGCTTCGCTCTTCCTGGAGAGTTGCCCTGGACGGGGAGACTGGCATCCCATTGTAGGAGACTATGGCCACCTGGCCGTGAGGGTGGGTGATATCGGTTCTTGGTTCTTCTTGAATAGTCATCAGTTCTTGGATTGTTGGATCATCCGTGGGACCTCAGAGTCATGGCCAACAGTCATTTGAATATGTTGGAGGGTCATGTGAGGTGTTATGGGACTGCTTGTCCAGGTTGCGATAGTTGCGAAACAGTGGAGAAGTTGGAAACAAATGACGACTAAGATCCTGATTTGAGAAAGCTGACGGTAGGTATTCAGTCGTACTTCGCAGATGTTTGCAGGTTCAGCTGATACGTCAATGGCAATCAGCTGAGGTACTGTGAAACACTTTGCCGGTGCCATTTGTGCCCACTGGACTACTGAGAACAACACTCCATCGACACGCGTTGCTCGGATGAAAGAAACACGAGCTAGCAATAGCTAGCACATATATCAAGGGGGACACATACACTCTTGAAGATTGACATGGAACCTTTGGGTTTGTACAGGAAACTGGTCTTCCAAAGGTCCATGCCATCAGGTTTCATGTTGATCTTCCCGGAGAGAAAAGAAGAAAGGAAGAAGATCAACGACGGCAGGTTGCAAAAATGTGTGATGAAGCTTGGATCCGTTCCCTACAGGTCAGTTGGACCTCATTTGGACCTCTTTTACTGGAGTTGGTCATAGAACAATATCTACTCAATGAGGTCCTGGAGGGTCGACTGGACCTGGGTCCGGTCCGTGAAAACCAAGGCACAGAAAGATCAAGGGATCAAGTTGAAGAGGAAGAAACATGGTGTTTCTGTTTTTTTCTTCTGGTCCAACCCCTACTGGTCTAACCCCGATCTAACCCACCATTTACCAGCACCCTCCAACAGGTGCTTCCTGGTGACAGCAGGTGCCCAGAAACCACCTGTTAGGGTCTCCAAACAGCCTGTTGCAGGGTCCTGGTATGTCCTGGTATATATTATCAATGATTGAAGACCTGAAGACCTGGTGTCGGAGAGACCATCTTGCTCAAGTGAACCTCAAGTGATTGAAGTTCGACAGTTGTGCAGATCATTGTGCCAAATCATCTGTCATATGTTAGATGGAAACGTATACCTAAAGATCGGTCGACGTACTAACCATCAATAACTGTGCTCCCCAATGTTTTGTCTTGCAACAGTAGGGTTCGTATCCGCGTAAAAGATGTCAGGATTGCTCTCACTCGCCTTTTGCACCGAAAGCCGTCCAGGTGTCCTTGGACGTGCGGCTGGTTTGTGGACCCATGTTCGAAGCCATCAGAGGTGGCGACGAGCTGCCAAGCGGGAGAGAAAGCCACCAGGAGTCACAGGATAGGGGTGCCGCCCAGCTACTCCACTTAGTTAGGGACTAAACACCCCGACATGTGACTCCTGGGATGAGGTTTTTTGTTGACCTTTCTTGTCAGCTTGGAGCAGCGGTATGGACGAACCGGCAGCCTATGCGTGGGAGGGTTCATGATGCACTGATAAAGGAACTCCTCCTTGGTTTGACCCAAGGGAGTTTGCAATACCATGCAGTCCCAAATCTTTAACGAAACTGAACATTTGAGAAGGATTGACAAGGATTAATTTGAAGCTGGCTTCTTAGCTTGGTCTTTTCCCGGGTGTCATAACCGAAAAAGAGCGCCGTTGGATCTCCAGGAAAAGGGACCTCTTTCACACCAAAGCTGGGTACTACGAGCATTGCTTGCGTGATGTGGATGGCGCCTGGGTACGTACCAGCAGCGATGAGTTGCCGTTGCCTGATGCCCGCTTCGGCTTTCCGTGGACCGTTCGCAACTGGGAGAAGCAGCGTAACAGGCCGAAGCTACAGGAAGACAGGCTTTCTGAAGAGAAGATCCAGCCAGGTGGATGAGCCGAGGTTTTCCTGAGCTGATCATTTCCTAAGATGGGCTGAGGTTTTCCATGATCAAATCTTGATGGCAGTTTCCATGTCGATGGAGCAGCTTGAGCCAAAAAGCAACTCAAAGGAGGTGATGTTGGTCTCCCTGGCTTTACCCCACCATGGGGACCAGACCGACGGTCCGCTCGCCGCTCACCGGTCTGTGGCGTCGAAGTGAAGCGGACGACGGTTCGGCGGTTCGAGCTTGCGAAGAAGTGGAGCTGGGCCTGGCAGCGTGGGTTTTGACTCATATCGTCGACCTTGATGTCGACCTTGAGGCATCTAGATGGCAACAAGAAGAGGAAAAAAAAGGAACCTCGCATGTTTATGCAATGATGCCCTGTGCGCACATCCTCGCACATCAGATCCATGCTGCGTGGAAAGCCAGGACCACCTCCTGATGTGTGCTCTTGGCAATGGATTTGCAGAGGAAGTAACCACAAGAGTTGGACTAATTGGGACCTTCAAAAAAGGACCTGCTCAAGCCTGGGTCTCTTGGCACGTCCTTCTTAGTCAAGAACTCTGCGACTCTGTCATTGCACGTCCCTCGCGGTAAACCGGTTGCTGAGGCTTTGTGCATCGACAAGCCCCGGGAGCCCAGCGACACGGGACTGCTACAAGCCGGCTCACCTTCTTGGCGGTCGATGGACAACTGTGTGGATGTCCCACGTACGAAAAAGATTCATGAGCATTGTGTAAGTGGATCGTAGATCGTGCACCAATGGAATTTTGGTGGAGTCGTATATATGGGTCCTGTTTCGACCTCCCTCACCACCGCCTAGAGATGCGCCAGTGGATTGGGGAGTTTGGGAGTTTGGGAGGCTCCAAGCTGGTGGTGGACTTCCAGCATCTTCCAGCTTTGCCAGGGGTGCACAGTAGCCTGTTGAGTAGCCTGTTGGTGGTGTTTTTCGGGAACCGGGGTTCCCTGCAGGTGTTGCTCCACTTCGCTTGAACAAATTCCTGGATCCAAACTCATTTAATATGTCTTTCTTTGACCAAGGAAGGCAACTCTCATGAAAGAATCGTTCCTCACATCCTCACTCGCTTCTTCGTCTTCCCAGTCGTCCCGACGTCGTCCCTCATCTACCTCTTCGCCACGTCCGAACCGAGTCGGCGACGACGGACGCGACGTCGGCGTGTTCAGGTGGAGCATCGCACCCTCTCGGAGTCACCGATCAGGCCGGGACGACCCCAACGACGCGAGCGGTGGTTATTCTGCGCAGGTCGGACGACCCGGAGGACAGGTCAGACCGGTCAGCTCTTCGAAAGGGTGGAGGGAATTCGAAAGCGTATAATAAGAACTCACGAAAAGAACCGACATGTGCTGGGGGGTACGCTGCATGGATCGGGTGATGGTGTGTTTTTGCGAACTGGGTGAATCCCCTAGCGTCAATGTGCGTCAATGATGTTTTCCCGGTTCTTGAAGCAATTCCAATGTGAATCAGCCAAACAGAAGCGTGGCTGCAGGATAAGTTAAATGCGAAAAAAGGGGGTGACTGACATTGACCGACCAAAGTGCTTTTGACTGCCCCAGGTCGTTGTTCTCCTTAATAACTCTCCAATTAATTGGAAGTCCATGTCGAAGTCCTTGATCAAGTCATATCCTTAATTATTCTTCGATCAATCAGAGCAAAAAGAGTCACCGGGTCACCACTTTTGGCCACCATGGACTCCCATGGTCCCAAGCGACGTTTCCCCCGGTGGCGGCTTCGACGGAGGCGATCGCCCGAACGGGCGGCCAAAGGCAAGGGCAAAGGCGCCGAGCACGACCAGTGGGATCTGGTTGGATTTGGATTGAGATCTGATAGAAGTCCCACAGTCTTGTCAAACCTCAGGAAAAAAGAGGTCATTGACCTCTATAGGGATCTCTTGGTGGTCTAAATATAGTGGAGATCAGTACTTCACAGATCTTCACAGTTGTGTTGTTCTTCTGGGTACCTTCAGGGTGGTGGCTTAGTTTCCCCAGACTCATTGGCTGGCCATGTCAATCCTTCCAAAAAAAATGACGCACATCCGCGACCAAAGATGCCCAAAGCATTGTTGGTTATGTTTGTGTTTGATTGTGTTTGTGCACCCAGCCTGACGGCAGTCCTTAAAAATTTGACCCACCCCAACACGTTGCATTCCTTCAGCCTCCTGCCTTCGTTGAGGATTCGACCGAAGTTTCGTACTTGGGAGTCTGTGTGTGTGAACAATTCCATGCACAGATGCATCGATGAATCCAGAAATACACTACAGTAGGATCCCAACGAAATGCCAGAGCTATGCTAGGTGGAGAGGTCGACACCTGGCGAGCCGAATTCGAGGAGGCCGCGGGGTCCGGACATGGTCAATGAACGGCTTTGCGGCTTTGGGGGGGGGTTAGCTGTGACATGTGCTCAGGCAAGGCCAAGAGATCGTTTGTACTCGTATATGTTATTTGGAGTTGAAGGCTGAAAGAGGTTCAACTGGCCTGATGTTAGCTCGTTCATCTTCCAACATCAGTGATGAATTGCTAAACTAAGAGGCATGAAGACATGCATGTGGTGTGTTTAAGGTTACAATTTAATTGTTTATTATTAGCTCGATGCAAAGCTATAGACATGAACTTGTTTATTTTCCCGTATGGTTTTGAACAAATAGGGCAAATGAATTTGCAGTCATTGGATGACCAATCTGTACTGGTGCGTTCAATCTAGTCACGTTTGTACAAAGTGGAGCCTGCCTATCTCAACCCGGTGAGCTTCTCCTTATAGGTAAGTCTTGGGGGGATAATTATTGAAGGATTCGACCGTAAAAACTCACCCAGCAAATCTAGCCGGGTCCAGTGGAGGCTTGGTTGTTGGATCGCACCGCCATGAGAGCCAAGAGCTTCTGGTCCTCCCTGCCACGCCCTGAGAGGTCCTGTATTCGGTTCGGGAGGAGGAAATGGGCGTCCCCCCTGGTGAGGCTAATTACTCAGGTGGTTCGTGTGTTTTCCCATTTTCCAAGGTCTAGATCAACATCGGTACAGGTCCCCCAAAACTCTAACCCGGTGTCAGGTCGTTGGTGCAGACCCTCACTGTCACACACAAACCCTGAAGACGTCTTCAGCCTTCTTCAGCCTTAACAGGGGAGTCCTTCGAACCCCTAAACAGCCGCCTCAGAGAGTGCTGTTTTGCTGTTTTGCGGCCCCTAAGGACCATGTATCCGCGCTCTCCATCGCCGCAGCGAGAGCAAGAACAGCCGGCAGAGGAGGTCGCCCAAATCTCTCGGCCGGGTGGGTCCAGATGGAGGAGATCAACATGAACCCTGGAGTCTTTAGGGGGCACTTCCTTTACTTCAGCCGGTCAAAACATAGTCTTTGGACTTCTAGGATTAATTGAACCCCTTGAAACCCAGCAGTTCTTGCGTTTTTGTGCGGTGAAAGCTTTGAGTGTGGACCTTTTAAAAACAACCAGTTGACTGGTCCTCGCAATAGTTTACATGACTATGTAGCCATCAGTTGCGATCGATTGCGATCTGTAGCGGGAAATTCATAGCCGATCGAGAAGCCAGCTATGTCCGGCAGTATCGGGGCTGTCGGGGACCGTGCAGAACCCTGCCAGCCAGGCAGCTCCGCCCATGACAAAGGCGGGTTGTTCGGCCTTGGATGTGGCTGTTTCGGAGGTTGGTGTATCCGGACCCTTGGTCAAGACCTCAGGCTTCCCTCCTTCGCTTAACAGGAGAAGAGATTGGTGAGACACCCGACGAGATAGATTTACCAGTCAGTGGATTCCTATTTGAGAATGATTTACAGACACCAAATGAAATAATACTGATAGACACCATTTACAGACACCTATTTGCAGACACCAAATTTAATCCCCTGAGAAATCATATGGGACACCAAATGTTGCTTTGCATATCTCCGCTTTCGCATCTATGCGGAGTTCTCACGCAGGTGAGCCTCAAGAGTTTTCTGTGCGTCAGAAAGACCTTGAAAGTCCAAGATGTTGAGGTACAGAAAGACTGATCTACAAAGAAAGTCCTTGAAAGTCTTGAAGACCAGCTGCCAAGATGTTCACATTCTCCCCCATTCTCACCAAGCCTTGGTTTCCATAATGTGGTCCAGGAGGAGCAGAAGCGGAACGACAAGTTTCAGGACAACATCAAGAAGGTCAGCAACTCAGTCCGCTGAAGTGGAAAGCGATGTGATCAGCCTTCTTCCGCCGGTGTGATCAACCCCTAAAACACCTGCTGTGCAGGCTGGTTTCACCGGATTGTATCAGTTCACACAAAGACAAGAGATGTGTGAGAGAAAACGCGACAGGCAGATGTTTTCCAGGATGAGTTGGTGCTGGAAAGGCTACGAGGTGGTTGGACCAAAATAAGGTGTGACTATTCCCCACATGTCCCCAGCATTTGTGGCCATTTAGTATCGGCTTTGAACTCCTCCGATGAGCTGGTTCCAGTGCAGAAGTGCTTTCTCGGTATTGCCTACTTTCCTCCATCAACTTCATCAACTGTCGGACGTTGACCAACTCTTGGCCTGCGGTTCTACTGCTGCTGCTACTGCTGCTGCTGCTGCTGCTTACTACGACTGCAACTACTACTACAGTACTACTACTGCTACAACAGGAAGGTTTGATCTTCTGTGGAAAGACTGTTTCCTTGACCTGCAGCCTCCAAGAGGGACCAAATCGATTCATCTCGAACCTCGCTGCCTTGATTTGCCTTGTGACAAAAAAAAGTCCGCGAATTCGCTGCAAGCATCACACTATGGTTCAAGACCGAAACATATGGGGATTGATGTGCAAGTCTCATGACTCTGAACAAGTCTCTTGGTATAGTTTACGTACTTTAGCTATGTTTAGCTTTTGAGATTTCATGGCAGCCACAATGGGACCACCACACTATTCTTGCTGCAATCCCCCCCTCAGCACTACTCAAAAGAACCGACTAAACACATCCAATCCAGGCAGCTTGACGCTTTTTAAGAGAATCTGAAGAACATGAACGGACAGAAGCGTCGCCCTAACGATAAACCTTGTTTTCATTTGCTGATTTGCTGCAGATGTGAGCGACATACGATGATTAACCTTTAGCTCATGCTGGTAGCGGCATACAGGGATACACAGGCACAAATATACCTGAATTAGGATCCCAAACCCAAGCGAGTCAGCTTGGAATGCATCCGTGTGATGGCGCCTTTTGCACCAGCCGCGGACTCCCGAGCTGGCGCAGCTGCACGCTGCGAGGAGGGCAGTCGCCGTCGCCTTCGCCGCTTGCGCGGCCCGCAGGAGGGCACTCGGTAGTGGCTTGGAATCGAAGGGTGGAGGAGGCGAGGAGAGGGGAGGTTTAGTCCTACAAGCTGAACCAGCTGATACCAGCTGCACACTTGTATGAGATATCATATCATGTATTCACATATAAGGGAAGTTGTTCTTGACATTCTTTGTGGTCCATCGAAAGTCGGAGGGGCAATGTGTTGGCACTAACACAAATATGAAGCTGCTACAGATTGCTACATAGTTTGTAGGGGCTGTACGAGCTAAGCACCTGCATAGTCAGAAGTAATTCCTTCTCAAGCTAATAGTCTTTTCTATCACTGTAACCCAATGTCCATGACGCTCCCACGCCTCAGAGGAAGAGTGCCCTTCAAAAGAACCGGTGGAGCTCCAACACCGGTGGAGCTCCATCACGACCGAGCTCAGGTCTTGCTCTCGCGATTTGCTCGAAAGCTGAACGCCTTAGTCAATCAGAAGGCCGGACCAAGACCGACCGACACCACGCCGCGCGTGTGCGAAAAAAAAGAAACAAAAAAACCTCTAGTCGCCCAGCGGGAAAACCCCCACCAGCGGTGTGACACCAGCGGCGAGTCGCCGTCGCGTTGGTGGCTGGGCGACCAATAATTTTCCGGAAGGAACCGAGGGGCAGGACTCGTTTACTCGAGATGGAAGTTGTAAACCTGCAGGCCTACGAAGTCTAAGCACAACTCTGTTGAATCAGGCCTTGAAATTTCCAGACTCTTGTCTTGGGCAACCAGGCTAGTGCAAGTGAATGGAAGTGATAGATATGATATGTTGCAGAGGCCCATCTGCAGCGATTTCCGAAACAGTGTAGGCTGCCAACTTACAGTGTCAACGAGCCTCCACCTACAGATGCCAAGAAAGCTGTGTTGATTCTTCTAACAGCCCTTTTCTTACTTCTACTTGACTTGGGTGAATCCATTCACCCACAAAGAAGCGGTCAAGTGGGATACGACAGTCACATTTGTTGATCATCGAAGAGGGTGGCGCTAGAAACCACGGCCTCGTGGGGTCAAGGTTTTGGTGCAAGGCTTGCTGTGAAACATTCTGATGCAGACTCGGCCCTTGATTACTGCGGTGCTGGTGCGCCTAGAAGAAGGAAAGAAGTTGAGTTCTCGGCCACCCTCAGTTTCAAATAGAAAATCTCCAGTGGCTTGTTGGAAGTCTTTATTTCCGAAAAAGCTCCAAGAACTCTGCTGGGAATCTCCTCGAAGGTGCAGCCGAAAGCGTCCAGAAGACCTTGGAAGAATCAGAGCGACGAAGGACAAAGTCAAGGCCCTGGGCACGTGAAATGACGTGTTGGACAGAACATGGAGGGCAAAAGATCCTGGTTTTCCTGATGCTTGGGCAAGCAAGGTGATGTTTGATGTTCCCTATGAGGCAACCCCTTAGACGGTGAAGATGGTGTTTCGTCCCGTTTCCTCAGGCTGCTCTCCATGAGACATCAGAGGGTTGCTCTCAGGGGGGCCAGGAACTATCAGAGGGTGGCTGCCATGGCCGCTGTCAGCTGTCACCCTCTATATGTATGGCCGCATGACCCAAATCAAAAGGGCATTTCCTGGAGAATTTGGTAGACAGTTCCCGCCACCTGCTCATATCGAACATGTTTGGGATTTTATAAATTTGCTTATATAAATTTGCAAATTAATCGAACAGATTGATTATAAATTACTATGTTCATGCCAAAAAAAAACATTGAAAAAGATTGAACAAGCCAAAATATGTATTAAAACATATTTAAGAGAAACACCTAAAGGCCACGCTTCGTACCTTTAAACCAAAGGCTCCACCGCTGTCCACCTGGTTCGTCTCCCGATCTCGACCTTTCCTCTCCTAGGCGGTCGCGGCACTCGCGTTCAGCTGGCCACCGCGGCAGCCCTCACGGGCCTGGCGGGTGCGGCCACCGGGGTGGCGACGCTGGCGGTGCCGCTGGGCGGAACGCAGCGGAGATTGGGTGGGAGTTGGAGGTCGAAGTGGTGAAGATGTTTTTGAACTCGAAAATGAATTCGATACAGGATATAATTAAGTACAAGCGAGCTATTCTATCGAGGCTTTCCTCCGTCCGCAGACAAAATCATGACAATGCGAAGGCTACATCCATCGACCTGACCCAATCAGAATGGAGAAAGGGCTCTTGGGGCTTCTCCCAGCACTTGCTGGGGGCTTTGTGGTTGACAATGGCAGCCACATAGGAGTAGATCCCTCATGTCGAGTTTGAGAAGAACTAATCCATTTTGCTGAGCTGACCACATGGAGAAGATTAACACCCAACTGAACCCACTCAGCACCACCTCCAGCCTTTGCAGCTACACATGATCGAGGTGTGTACCCGTCCTGGGCAGCCTGCTGACCAAGACCACTACCGGTGCGGCAGCAACTGGGCTCAACAGCTTGGACATGAAGGTGCGTGTCTCAAGAGCTTGGGCTCAACAGCCTCAGCAGTCCAACAAACAGTTGAGCTCAGGAGCTGAGTTCAACAGCTTGAACTGAGATGAAATGCTCCTTCAAGTGATTCAAGTCCATCGCTGGACTTTCAAGCTTCCAGTGACAGCACTTTCAAGCCCGCCTTCACATGTCCCAAATCCACCACAACTTTTGGAGTTCATCAAAACCATTTGTGACTCAGTGACTCAGTGAGATGACGAACACACCATTATTTGAGTTCCAACTCGCTATTTGTGACTAGCAGGTTCTATCCTCTCATCTGTGCCACTCACTCTGAGGCAGGTTATTTGGGACATCTCTTCCGTCGTCGCAGCCAGCTACGGGACCAGGCAACTGCAGGCGACGGGGCAGTTGTGGAGAAAGAATCGGTGCGAACTCTGTGGCAAAATCAGCAGTTGATGGCAGCTTCTCACCATAGCTCACCAGCTGCTTGAAGACTTTTTTGGGTCAGGCACCTCATGTTTTAATCACCTCTACTCCCCTGTGGATATTTTACAGTGATGAGAAGCATCGTATCTCACTAATTATCCACCCAAATCGAGGTAACTCCACTACCTTCATACAGTAGTTACTCTATCCAACACACCCACTTGAAGGATTTGTTGCATTCGTTTTGCATTCTTGCATCTATTTGCCATGGTTGCACGAGCAGTTGACCTCCGTTTAATACCAGGTACCTTTCTCCTCGAACTCCCTGCCGTCACAGAGACCTCTGGAGGGCGCTTAGTCGTTGAGGGGATGCTGCTCGGCAGATCGCGTCCGTGGTTACTCAGTCTTTATAATTGGCCACGTATCCCTACATGAAAGTACAAAGAGTGAGAAGCTGTATATCATATATATATATAATTATATATAGAGAGAGAGAGCCATGTCAAGATATGTGTTCAAGTTCTCAACTTGAAAGTTTAGACGTGGGAGATGAGAACTTCAAGAAGAAACCAGTTGTTTGTAGCAACCTTCAACCAAAGCTTGCATGTTTGTGTACTTAGTTTTTGTTCAGGCACGAACCAAGAAGCAACTGTCAAGCAGCTTCATCATCTACACCGTCACCGACCAGTACACCGACCCATCCATCATCTTGAGTTTCCACTTCCAGCTTATGCACCGAAAAAGGTCTCACGAGGAAACAGGTCTCACCGACCTCAGGCTTGTGCCGCAGGGGGACACGGAAGACATGGAACACCTGGCGTTGCTGCACTTCCCCTCGGGCGCGTTGGCGGAGGGCTTTCTGGAAGATCCGCAGCTCGCGAAGTTGCAGCAGGAGAGAGGGAGGAGGGAGCTTCACTGCCACACTGTCTGTCGGTCTTGGTGAGGTTGGAGAGAGGGCGGGATGTAGGGCCTATGTAGGGTTGATGGGCGTTCATGTGGTAAATCTGAAGACTGACGAAGTGAAAAGACTAATATTATAATAGGTTGTCCACAGACGGGATATTTACTCATATGTACATATTGGAAGGTGTTATCATGTGTTATCTATTGGCAGACTGCGAAGGACCAATGGTAGCTCGATTGGCGATCATTTGTGTGCTGAAGCAGAGCACGCAACTGTTTTCAATGCACCACTTGCGCCTACTACTGAGGTTGCCTTCCAACAAGGGGCCCACAACAACCATTCAGTGGGGAAATGGATGAAGTCTGTAGGGCAGGATCCCAAAACTCAGCCATTCAGGGACGAACTGACCGACGGTGGTTGATGGTGAAGTCCGGGTGAAGAAAACCAGTCCAGGAAGTCTTAGAAGAGCTCGAAATCATGGAACTGAAGCCCAAGAGCCGCTGGAAAGCCTATTGCGAAGCACTTCTGAGGCACTGCGGCACTGGGTGTGGTGAGTGTGCTGCGGTGCTGTTTGGTGCGTTTGTGTGTGTGTCAGATATGGGGAGGAGTCGAGTGAGTCTCGGGTTATTCCGAAACGAAAAAACAACACAAGCGATCCGATCCGCCCTTCCGCTGGTGGGGTGCTGTAGGGTAAGACATTTCCCCAGAAGATCGCACCAACAAACTCACCACAAACAGAAGATCGTGACTGCTTTCCGAAATGCCACAGCTTCTTGGAAGGAATAGAGGGCTTTTTGCAGGCTTTGTGCATGCATCTTTTTGTTGTTTTCGGGAGGGGTTTCAGCAACATGTGGCCTCCAACGTCTTTTGGAGATGACAGATTTTTCCCCAGATAGCGACAGCTATGGGGTTCTTACTTCGAGCTGGCTGTGCGCGCTTGGCAACATGTAAGGCAACATGTTTGTTGACTTACGGCCCTAACCGATGTAGGCCGATGTCGTAGGTGGTGCCTGGCGGATTCGATGAGCAATCCGGAGGGGTTCAAGCTCGGTTTTTGAGGTTTCCGGGCATATCTTCCAAGATGAACAGAGCTATTTCATGTAGTTCTATTCAGTGTACTGCAGACTGCAGACCCTTCAAAATCAGGAAGTCACATGATGTTCGACCATACTAGTAGCCTTGAATTTGCCTTCGTGAGGAACTGTAGAAACGCATGGTGGAGAGCTAGGTGGATTCTGCCACTTGTGACTGCTGCAGGCTCAGGGCTGACGTCCCTCGCAGATTCTGCAAGGCTGCAAACGCTCCGAATGCAATCAGAGAGTTGTTGGCGGGGCTTGATCTGATAACATGCTCAATCATTGGTCTCTAAACGCAAATGGTCCATTTCACACGAAGAACTTCGACCCATTTCCATGTCTTTCCACCTCCATGTGTTCCAACAGATTGAGAAAGAACACCAACGGATTTGGGTAGACTGTCGAGCGGTGGGAGACCCTAAACGCTCCAATCCACCTCCACCAGTGTTCCTTCACTCAGTCGTCTAGGCCTCAGCCGCTTTGCTTGCCGAGCAACTGGCACGTCTTCCAGCCTCTCCACTTGCGGCGGTTTCTTGGGTCATTGATGCATGGTGCCGGAGTACAGTGGTGATCTGGCCATTTGGATGCGGAAGATTCACCTGGTACCATGGAATTGGCCAATATTCAGGCAAGTTCAGGAGGATTCCACTCATACCCCGTTTTGGTATTGGTTCTCAGTTTTCCTTGGCATTGAAAGAGGCTTGGTATATGTAGGGTGTGATCGTTCCCATGTTTTGCCCTCAAAGAAACAAGGGTGTGGTCTTGTCCACACAAGCGTTGGGTTGTAGATTGTAGTGGAGCCTTTATGCTTTGAGAAATACGACGTTTTCACAGTCCCCTGATCTATTGTTGGTGCTCATGTCCTGTCATCTTGGGCGGTAGATGGAACATCCAGAAAACAACGCATACACAAACCACCCGCCCTAAACTGGGTGTTGTTTAGGGTAATTTTGTATGTTCCCCATGCCCCCCATGGATGAATTCCCCATGCCCCCCATGGGTAAGGTGTGTTCTCTCTATTTTCCAGATTTCCGCTGCACAAATCCAAGCAAACCCCCCACCGCTGCGCCACGCCAAGGTTCACTTCGTTAGCGTCGGCCCGAGCTCGGTGGGCCTGGCACCTGCTGCTGCGGCCACGCTGCGGGAGATCTGGCGCGCCGGCGGCCGGGGGAGCTATTTCGCCAGCAACCGGCGTGTCGTACCTGGGCGGCGTGTCGGACGAAAGTGGTCTAATAGGTGGGTTGGAACTTGGATTGACTTCAGAAACGATGTGAAGCATTCCGAAATAGGTCTTCCCTTTTTGGAATCAACTCCTGTGAACATTTTGAACATTTGGCCGACACCCTTGGCTTCTTTTGCAGCTTTCAGGCCGGTTCTGTCGAGCTGATCGTGTCCTCCTGGAAGAAGCCCAGCGACTTGCTGCGCTACCTCCGCGTGAACACCGCCAGCTCCGATTGGGAGGAGCCGAACGCCGCGCTGCGAAGCTCGCGCTGCGCGCGCTCGCGCGGCGAACGCTCGCTCCCTGCCGGAAGTGCACCGGAAGTCGAGCGCGGAGAAGGTCCCGATCCCTTGCGGTACATGGGTCCTGTGGCCTCGGACCGATGGACCAGCCGGTGTCTCAGTCTAGACACGTTCTGACGCCTGGTGTCGAAAGTGGAGTCATTTGAAGCATATGTCCATCTGCTGGTCCATCCGCTTCCACCACTTTTTAGGTGGTTTGTGACAGGTCTATCAGGTTCCCCGTTCACAAACAGTATGAACTTTCTGGCATAGAACATGGACACACGACATGAGAAAGATGCTGGCGCTGTTTGGCTCCAGTGTTGGATGTGGTGGCCAAGTACTGCTGTGGCAAAGCATGGAATATCATGGAATACATGTTCAAAGGAAGTTACCTTTACGTTTGGCCTTCATTGTATACACAGTATCCTGGATGATGTTTTATGTACCTTCAGAGGTATCTTCATCGTGCATTTGGATGAGTGGTCAAAACTGATGGCCCGGCCATAGCACCCATGCAATGTGCTATTGACTCTCTGAATACTCCCACGCAAGGGCATGCCGCACGGTACATAGGTTTCAGGAGTCATCATATGTCATACGTTCCTTTGCAAAAGGGGTCCGTTCTGAATAGGTATTAGATGGTATTAGTATTAGGGTGTCTCATGCAGGACTCTTCCGACAACGAGCTGGTTGAGACAGCTGCTGAGCGCCTCCTCGTTTGCCAGGTTTGAGAAGATTTGTGACTGCATTTGGAGTTTATCGCATCACAAGTGGGTGTTGCATACCGTATACTGCGCAGGTAACAAGCAAGCTGAGGGTACCCTTGTGGAAGTACCAACTGGAGTAACGATGATGAACCACCAAAAAAGGCGGTGATTAGATACAGCTGGTGCGATCAGCAGCTGACTCCTTGTACAGCTGGGTGATTACTCACCCTGGAGGTGTCTCAAGCCTTCTGACCGGCAGCGCTAGTGGCGCCCCTCCGCCGGGAAAGCTGGAAAAGAGGCTTGGACGATGCCCCTGGGAAGGAACGGTGAAACAGGAATATCTCAGAATTTCGGTTGGAAGAGACACCGTTCAAAGTGCCCAATTATGATATCCTATCCCAACTAACTTACGACTTCAGGACTTCGGAATGTTCCTGTTGGCCTGGGGATTCGTATGTGTTTTACTTTACTTTTAAGTGCCCTTAGGAAAGAGTAGCACTGATTCTTCATGTGTTGACCGGGTTGCGGTTCGTGTTCCTCGATGCAGAGTTCTCGCGAGGGCATCAACAACTCCAGAGTTCGTTGAACATGATGAGAAACTGGATAAGACCCAAAGTGATTGACGATTTTGCCTAATGTAGACTCTAATTTTACTACCACCCCATTTGAGTTGAAACACCGAAATCTGGAGGGTGGTGTATCCATTTTCTACAATGAGTTGACCTTCGGACCTTCCCCTATCCCTCCCCCCTTCACGTCTTGGACCGCTTCACCCATCCACCGGCTCTACCGGTGCTCGTCCGCTCAGGCCATGAAAACCGAGTCCAAGGACGGTCGGCCGCGGCGCAGAAGCGCGCGCGCGGCGGGGAAGGCTGAAGGCGGTTAAACAAGCAGGTAGGAACTGGAGTAGACCAAGTCTTAGTGAATTGGACGAATTGACTTGAAGAGAGCTATGGCCGGTTTGATGTGAATGTATCATAAAGTGAGGGTTGGAAGTATGTTGCTGCTGCGTTTGGCCCTACCCAGCAGCCTGATGCGTAAACAGGAGCTGAAGAAGATTGAGAAGGAACAGAAGAAAGAGTGCCCTGGCGAGCAGAATGAATACGTTCAACAGGTATGGGTCAAACATTTAGTGGTTTCTGAAGTTTGTTTATCTTGTTTTCTTTGACCTTGCAGGGTTATAGGCTCTCTATATATATGCATTAAACACGTATACTCATATTCCAAGTTCAATCCTAGATGGAATGTGTTTTCGTGTGCCAACTGCGACAAAACTGGCGTTGTTTCCACTGCTGAGCTTTAAAGGGGTGTACGTGGGACTGGCTTTTCTCCAAAATTTGTAGGTTTCGTGGGGTGAGCCCTTTCCGCAACAGAGCCACAGCACTGTTGCTGCTCACTTCGCTCAGGAACAAGGAGAAGGACGATGAGGACCTTCTCCATGATGACTAGTGGTAGCTCCCGAACTCGCCTGGGTAGAAGAAAATGGCTTTTGTGGGAAGCAGATCCGCCGTAGGCGGACGAGCCAAAACAGAGGGTCAGCTCCGATCGACGCCGTGCGTCGCTCGCGTCTACGCCAGTGCTTCTCTCAGTACCTACAACTCACGAAGACAACATTTAGGGCTGTGGACGATTTGCTGATTCAGCTTTGGTGGACAGGAGGGCAAGGAGAAGAAGGAGAAGAAAGAGAAGAAAGAGAAGAAAGAAAAGAAGTCCAAGGATGCGGAGTCTGAGGAGAAGAAGGAGAAAAAGGCCAAGAAGGAAAAGAAGGAAGAGAAGAAGGAGGAAGAATCTGAAGACGTCCCCTGAGCTGTGACATTCAGCATGCATTTGTTCCTTTTCAACTGAAAGACTCCACAGTGGCTTGATGCACGTCCCAAATGGTTTCACTTTTTGGTTGGCGCCTTCCAAATATGCAGACACTATATAAGTATAACAGTATAAAGAAGTACTACAAATTGGGACAACGCCATTGACACAACTTGATAATTAGTTTGGGGCAGCTCTTGGTGCTGAAACACGGGTGTTGGCACGACAAAGTCTCATCCGCACAGAGGTTCTTCACGTGTTCAAATCGTGAAGCTCCCAGGTGAAGAAGTCCAAGAAGGAGGAGGACTGGCTCTTTGCTGTTGTTTTTGTTGCATTTTGTTTGATACCTTCTTTTTTTGGGGGGTACGTACTGCTATGATCTGCTATGTTTGTTGGAAAAAAACAGTGATGTGGCGGGTCCAAGTTGGTGCTGTAGCCTTCTCATTAAGAGGACAAGAAAGACAAGAAATCAAAGAAGGAGAAGAAGGGTGAGGAAGCCGAAGCAAAGGCGTGACCTGTGGTACCTCCATGCTATCCCCAAAGTTGATCGTTCCCCAAGAAGGATAGTCGTCACATGTAAGCCTTGGGACCTGAGAGATGGATGCCCATCCAAACTTCTCCGCCAAATAGGTCCACATAAACGGACGGTTCTCACAGTATTGCCATGTCACGGGCACGGCATTTTGTCCGTCAATCATAGCAAAAGGAGAGCTTGGATGAACAGCCACAGGCGCTAGCTGCAACAAGCAGAGAGAGATAGAGAGAGAGAGAGCGAGCGAGCGAGAGAGAGAGAGAGAGTGAGTGAAAAGAAAAGAAAAGAACAAGAGCAGAACTTGGAAAGAAGGAGGTGATGAGCGTTGGGTCAAGATGGTTAAAGCTTTATGAGTTTGCTGAAGCTGCCTTCCAGGAGGAAAAGGCCAAGGACAAAGGAAAGAAGGCTCGGACGAAGTTTTTGCTGGCCTTCCCCGCTAGCACCTGGGCCCGGATACCTTGCTCTGGCTCCCACCTTTCTTAGACCCCAAGAGCATCCCCTTGTTTCTAAACTGTTGGCTATAATGGTTTCAGAGTAGATGGCACAAACCCCAAGACATTTCTATAGGGGCCCATATTAAACCACCTCTTGGGATTGTGACATCTACGCTAAATCCACGTGGCAACCACTGACTATTTGAGTCAGTGGTTGACAAAGCAGGTACTGTCATGGACTTGTGGAAACTGCTCGGACACTTTTCCTTGGTATCCCGTCAGTCTTTGATTCTTTGACTGCCTTCTCTTGTTTTCATTGATCCAGCCCAGTTCTGCTGATGCTGTTTGAGCAACCTGCACGGTACTACCTACGTCCTTCTCCCAGACATCACAACTGCCTGCAGGAGAAGAAAAAGAAGAAGGAATCCTCATCCTCCGAATCTTAGCTCTTTGTATTGGCACCTTCTGCGTGCACGTTTGCAACCTTATTTGGCATTGCAAAGGAAGGGTCTCTCTCCGCCCGTGTCTCGGTGCTCTTTTTGAGAAAAGCTCGGCAGACAGTGGGCTTGCTGAAGTTGGATGACGACTCAAGAGATGGGCCAAATAAATGTCCGATCCCTTCTGTTTTGCGGACCATATAGGTTGAACGCCATGGGTTTTTTGTGGGTCACCCTTTAGGCAACCAACACCTCCAAAGGCGCAGTATGGCGGAACATGTGGTTGGCGCAAGCCCTTCCTTTCACCTTCCTTTCCCCTTGGCCGTTCCTTGGCCTTGGCATGCCTTGACCTTTTTCCACCCAGGAAGACTCCTCCAGTGACTCAGATGCTGGGACCTCAGACCGGATACCAACATGGACGTCGCGAAGTCGTTTGAGCCTTCTTTGCTGCTTAGTGAGTGGATTGAGGTCGAAGTCTCAAGAGACTTCAAGGTGTTGGTGGAGTTTATCATGGTTTATCGTTTATCCCCTTTTTCTGAATTGCATGGTTTGTTTCATTGGATATTGACAGTGGTTCCATTGCACACTGCAGATAGGTCAGGTGAATCTTCACGGTTGCGAACGAGTCTTCAGAACCTTCACCCCATGTCTTGTTGGTACAAAAGCGAGGCCCGGTCTCAGCACGGACCACTCACGGTGTCCGACGCTCGGAGCGAGGAGGAGAGCAGCGACAGCGGCGAGACGGTGATGGAAGAACAGGCTGACCCTCACAGCGGCGCCGATCCGCGTGGGACTGGTCGACTGGAGTCATCGGTTTGTGAGACATGAACAAGACACTCTACGTATAACAGGTCGTGGCCAGTGGCTGTCCCAGTGTCAGCCCAGGGCACGTGTATGTACATACATCAGGGTTAAGATGACTCAGCTTGTGTCAAGTCTACTCACTTCAGGTTTCGCGTGCCAAACTGCAGAACTGCACTCTATAGAGGGATGCCGGGATGCATAGATGCCACTACAATGTGACTACATGCCAGTGGGACCTGTATTCTGCTGTCTCTTGACCAAGCAGCAGATAGATGCAAGTTCCTGCCAATCCTGGCGCTTCTCTTGGGAAGGCCGTGGCAGGCCGTGCGACGCGTCGACGAATGCAGGTGGAATGGGTCGAGATTCGACCCAGTGCCGCGGGCGACTCCAAATACGCTGCAGGCGGCGGGCGGCCTGGGCGTTTGTATGCGTTAGTTGGTTGACCAGAGGGAAGATGTGCAGGGTCAAGCAAGTGAAGATCCCCATTTGGGCTGGATTCCAGGTTTCTTGAGAATGTAGGATGCTTCTGCCAGCACCGGTGGCTTGTAATTGACTCTTAGGGCAAGTTGCAAGGATTCCCAAGGATTCATGATTTTTTGCGAGAGAGACTCATGACGTGCGAGTACTCTGGAGCCTATGAGTTGGACAGTATATGAAAGTATCAAGGCCCACATTCTGAAAATCTGTATTCTGCTGTGAGACCTACAGCTACCTGTGACTTGAAATCCATCACACACGTTCGTTCCATTTTTTCACAGAAGCCCAACACGCACTGTGGAGGCTACAACTACGACTCGGAGGCTGGGAACATTGCTTGTTGAAAAGAGAAGAAGTCCACAGGTCCCAATTTTTATGGCTTTGTCTTTGTGTTTTCATGAACATGTTGATTGGCCCATGCCTGAACAATTCCGCCAGCCTCTTTGTTTCCAGCCCAATGTATGGACTCGATCTATCGCATGTTTCGCACCTGTTCTTGAGCAATCATCCCAAAAATATCCAAAAATACAAATTACTCAAAAAAAGCCTTTGACATGTCTTTTGGGCGCTCAGGATGAAGGCTTTGGGCCCATGCCAGCGAGTCAACAGGAGCTCTCACTCCGTGTCCCGCGCCGATCGAGCCGAAGATCCGATCCCATCCTGTGGAGAAGGCATGGACGACCGGAGGCTTTTCATCTGAAGTTGTTGGAATCCATATAATAACACTTTTCAGAGACTGTTGTGAATCCATACGTTTCTATAAGGCTTTTCTTTGAGTCTCTATAAGATGTGTATTCAGAGACTCAGAGCAGTGAAAAAAACATGGGTGAGATCTGAAGAAGGTCGACTAGATCATGACAGACGCAAGGAGCTCATCAACAACATGTCGCAGAGCAAGGGATCTTATGGAGGCCTGCGTTTCACCATGCAAGTGGAGCAAAGACACATACTTGGAGTGTATAAGGTTACCTTAATTTGCCATGTTTTCTTGCTTGTGCTCAAAGATGTCAACTCATCATGCTGTTGTGACTTGCAATTTTCGACCAGGAGAGGAGCTTGTGAAATGATCGGATATCTCATTCTTTTAGAGGATTCTCCCAGATTGAGATGGCTCCAGTTTCCACCATCGCCAAAGATTGCGCTTGGCCACAAACACCGTGGTTCTGAGAATGAAAGCGTCGATGCTCAGGTTGATCGAAATTCCTCAGTTTCATTTCACTCATTGGCAGGCTACTTGCTGCCCGGAGAGGGAGATGCCATGGCCGAGTGCGCAGCCAAAGCCCTTGTTGCATTGGAGTGTAAGTGTGTAATATAATATGAGTAATGGATTTTGAACCATGTTTAAACAGTTTAAATTCCTACCGAGTTTTAATTATGTAATATGACAAAAAATGAGTAATTGGTTTTGAAACATGTTTAAATAAACAGTTTCAATTCCCACCAGCGAGTTTAGAGTTGGAGTGTTCGATCCTAGTGGTAAACAAAAACGGTGTGGATGGTCAATGCCAAGAAATTATTGGATGTTCCTGTCATCCAAAAGATCTTGGCACCTGCTCTCCTCTGAGCGGCTGCTGAGTACCTCTCCGGTGTTGTCGAGGTACGTGAAGAGCGGAATGCGTATCCCGCGCAGAGGAGAGGTCGGCATCACTGCCGAGCAGATCGACGGCCTTGAGGGCTTGGGCTATGCTCGGAACCTGAGAGGATCTTCGACATGGTGGACCGCCACAAATTCTAGGCAATGTGTGTTGAAGCATCATCAAGTCATCAAGTCAACAGAAGCTGACTCGGGGAAGGTTGGAACGCATCTTGTAGGACGTCTTCAAGAATATTTTAGCCGCCAGCTTCTGCAAAGTGACCGTTAGGAAGGTTCCTAAGTGACCGTTAGGAAGGTTCCTAAGTGACCGAACCAACCAGGTGCTTTTGGGATGTTTCAAGGTTGCACAAGCAAGGCAACGCTTAAACCAGGTTTGGGCAAAAGGGATGATAGGGATGATTCCTCCACAGTATGCAACCTTGCTTGCATCCTTTTTTCCGGGTACAGATGTTAAAGTCCGAAACCAGCTGAAACGGTGGCACCTCCTCTTCACCTCGCCACCATCTCGTGTCAGACTCACTGGAACTGCAAAAACCCGCTCTACCACCGTCTCCCGTCTCACGCCCGTCTCACGAAGACCGTTCACATCCCTCTGCCCTTCGGCTCAGGTCATGAGCGGTTCTCGGCACCGACGTATGAACGCGGTGCGTATCCGAAAGGAGACCCGAGGGGCAGATTGGGGCCCGGACTGGGGCGCGGGGTGGGGTGCGGCGGTGACAGTTGCTGTTGGCAGGGGGGGCTGTTGAAGGTCCAGGTTTGGGGTGGTACTGCAGTTCCAGCTGCCTGAAAGACTGGGTTTGGTGTTTGAAGATGATGCTAATAACATCTAATGACAAGGATTGAAGATGTGGACAACAATATGTTATAATATGTTTTTTGGACCTAAGGGATCGAGGAAGACATGCATATGTGGAAAATCACATTCCCTTCGCAAAGGTTCAAAATGGTTTAAATATAGTTAACCTATGTTTGGATCAGTGATTCCTGTGCTTCACCCACCCTTCGATGATCTTGAGAGATTTTGTGACGCTGAAGTGGACTGACGTGGGTGTCACCTCCAGGAGAATCAGGTCTACTCTGCCGAAGAGAAGCGAGCCCTCGCTATGTGCCCCGGCCTTTAATGCGTTTAATGGAATATAACTGCTGAGATGTGCAGTTGCCCGTGCTGCTTCTTTTGTAGTAGGTGCGTCCACTTTTTGTGGTTCGTAAACATAAATCAGCAGACACAGCTAGCGTCATCATTGAGAGGTTCCTATAGGTACCAGGTCCAGATTGAGAGTTTTCGGGCAGTTCTCCAAGATCCTATCTCTCAATGGCTTGGAGACCTTGCCCTTCCAACTGCTCCAAGAATTCCATCACACATCGGCAAACCCATCGATGACCTCTATGGATACTTGGGTACATGCATGTCGCACACTGTATTCTCTCCCCTCCAGTGGTCAAAAACGTTACCACGCGTACCGCTGTCTCCAACCGGCTGGCTGTCTCAGCGTACAACAAGTGAAGGTACAACTTCGAGGAGAAGGCGAATCGCGAATCGATGTTGGTGGGCGAGCTCCGAGAACTCTTGGAGAAGCGACAGAAGGCGCGGCACTCGGCGCGTTCGCGTTGAGGATAGCAATCTTCCAGGGGCCCATTGGGAGGGTCAATCTTTTGAAAGTGTCTACTTTGACCCTACCACCAGTAGGCGCTGCATAGCAGCTCTGACTACCACAAGCAATGGAAAAAGGTAGATAACAAAAACTGATCCTGCCGGCGCTTTGCGAGGCCATTGCAACTGCAGTGGGCGATGGCAGCACGCTGACCGATCGGCTGGGAGACTGAAAGGAGGATGGCGACGGTAAAAAATCGTGTCAGATGGATTCGGAGAACCACTACTATCGTACTCTGACTGTAAACTGTTCCATCTGTTGCAAGAATCCATCTGACAATCAGGCCCTCTGTTGCAAGAAGCTCTGACTGTAAACTGTTCCTTCAGTCACTTCAATCACTTCCTCTTTTGGTCATGCCGGATGAATGTTTCAAAGTCTTGAGAACAACCGTCCCCCCCCGGGAATCCTTTGTTAACTCCGCCTTTTTGGAGAAACAACTCCATCTCCTTGCCTCGGGTCTTCTGAGGTTCAGTTCGATCGGGGAGCAGAAGAAGTTTCTCTGAGAAACGCACCAGGCGTGCAACGCAACGCGCTTTTCCGCGCGTGCACGATGCGCGCAAGTCACACCTTGTGATGAAAAGAGTGAAGAGTGGAGAGGGGCATTTGGCAAGTGGTTTGGACCTATTCTTTGAGGAAGGATTAAGGATTGGGGAGTTTTGGGAGGTCTAACTTTGACAAAGTCTCCTGCGGAACAATGGTGGGTGTTCAATCCGAGTACTTGTTGCTTCTGCCGTTACTGGCAATGTTCTAACCATGTTGGGCATGCCAGGCAAGAATCGATGCGCATAGACCGAGCAGAGACAAGGTTGACAGACGGATGGAGCCCGACTTTCCGAGCGAAAAACGATGCAACGGCGGTAAGTTGCAAACCGAGCGAGCTGCGCGGTAAGTTGGACCGAGCGCGTAGCACCACGTTCGCTGTTCTGACGTCTTCATTGCTCACCAGGGCTTGCTGTTCAGGGCTTGCCTGGCTCAAGTGGTTCAACTGCTTGTGCTCGATGGAGTCATATGGCTGAGCACGAGCACGAAGAAGGCGAAGGAGCCGCTCCGTTTCGGTGGGTGGTGTGTCATGGCTGCGCCACCCAACTTGCCATCTGATTCCTTCCATGCATAGACGCATAAAGTGCCCATTTTTTGCAAGTCCCCTAATTGGTGACATGGGTAACTGAGAATAGCCTCAACTGTAATTAAATAAATCTATAGATTAACATTCCTTATCTTAAACCAATTGGTTTGGTGGTTTGCCCCTAGTGTTGAGACACTTGGTAACTTCACTTGGTCCATGTGCTGAACAAAGTGTAGCTGCTGGTCAGGTATGAGTGGCCATGTTTTATAGTTAATTTATTATAATCAGTTATTGGTGTTGTGGGTGAAGGCAGTGGTGGTGAAGGCATATTAGCAATCTTATCGATTGCCTACATTGATGTTCAAGTGGCAGACTCCTGCTTAACATGTATAGTTATACAAGGAAATAGATTGGTCAAGGTGTTCAAGAACATATTCTGTGCTTTTGAGCGTAAGGGAGTAGACACGATAATTATAACCGATCGGTGCTTTGTCTTGGTGTGTGTGTGTGTGTCTTTTTTGAAGTCAACGCAGGCAGCTCGTCTTTGATCATTTGCAACGGCAGAGACCCTGAGAGCATCCAGCTGCTGTGCACCTTTCTGCCGAGAGGGAGGAGGACAAGTGGCAAATTTGCTTCAACTGGCCTGCTGACGGTGGATTTCACATGTTTTAAATTCCCAATGAGACTGAACCCGCTTGGAATGTAGTTCTTTGTTTGCTGAGCCCTTTTGAAGTCGTTTTTCTAGATGCATATGGTCGAAGCATGTCATCATGAGGGTTCACCAATCTATGCATCTTCTTGAGCAATATCAGAATGTCTCATTTTGGACCACTGATCAAGTGTTATTACTTGTTATTTTGTCCCATGTAATCCCATGTATTATTTCCTATTGGCTTCCTCACATTGCCTTGCATACACGTTGAATGCTTCGTTGATGTTGAACCATGAGGGTGTCCTTGGTTCAGCGATTGCATGACCCGTGTCGTCACGGTGAAACACCGTGGCCACGGGTCGTGACAAACCCACCCATTGTTCACCCCCACGGGTCGTCCGCCAACGACCGACACCGTGTGGGTCAACGGGTCTGTTTGCTGGTGCCATGAGCCCAGCCATATGTCAGCACCGATTCCATCCATGCAACCATTTGCAGCGAATCCTGGCAGGACTCACATCGTGCAGTCCTCGGAAACGCTCAGCGTGGCGCATGTGAAGCCCTGCTTGGAGCGGCTCTTCCAACGCGATGGCATCAAGAGGCCCGACCCCTCTTGCCAACAACACGTGCACACTGTGAAGGCCTCTATACAAACCAGTGCCAGTCGATGGCTCCGTGTACGGGGTTCTTTGGTTAAGAACAGTCGTGTGGGATCCCTTCAGGTTAGGGGTAGGGGTATGAAGGCCCCACTTTCTGCACATGCTCTCGTCTTTCACTTTTGGAGTGCACTGGTTGAGTCCTCTCAGCAGCGCTTGTATTCAATCTGTCTAGCTTGTACAAGTAGCAAACTTGGACTTCAACTCACCTTGCAAGGATTTTCTATGTTGGTCCAGCAGATGAGACGACCAACGGATGTGCTTGGGCCTTTGATGAGCCCTTGACATTGAATGACATTTTGAGCTTGAAGGCTCGGAATCAGAATGCTGCAACTACAGTCACAATCTATGCGGACTACACCACCAAGGCATCCATCCAGAAACTGATTCCTGCAGATGATGTCACGGTGTTTAGCTGGTGCTCCTGGCATGCGGAGGAGAGCAAGAAGGGTCAAGGACTCACATATTTGGTATATGCAAACCTGGGCTTGCGAGAAGAAGTGATGCAAGAGCTTTCAAGCGTTTACGGCCCTGATGGAACCAGCTATGATGATTGGATGCCCCTGCAAGGTTTGGGTCTGACCAACTTTGAGGCTGCCAGTTCGGAACCACAGCCCAACAGTTAATGCTGGTCCCAACTGTTGGTCGGACTTGTGGCCAGTTGTTCATGATTCTTGTTCTTACTCGTTTCTCTCTCCTTTCTTGCTGATCCGTATAGTTGTTCTTGCCGTTTGAACATCTTTTTGGACTTAGATGGACCTCTACTCGGGCAGAAGCCTTTGGAACGGCCGTCAGGCTTCCGCCCCTTGGCTCGGCGAGTTCCGGACTCTCGCGCTCGAAGCACGTCACCCCATCGCTGTCTATGTGGCCGCCACGCTGCGGAAGATTCGCCGTGACCAGACCAAATTCGGACAGAGCAAGGAAAACATGGAGCGAGTGCGTCAAGTGATCGCAAGAATCAAAGAGCGCCTTGATGCCCGACACTGCTCTGGCAAGATGATGTTTGGATTTTTCCACAGTGGGAAGTTGCTTGTAGGGAGTGTATATAGTATACAGGAAATGTTCATAAATGTTCAATGCGTTTGGTCTTTAATGCTGATCAACAAGCTGATCAGCCAGCTTGAGCCAGTTTGACCTAAGGATGCTTGCAAGTATCGTGATACTGGTTCCGATGGTGCGGACGGTGCTCAAAGCAAATCCAAGGACGCTGGGGAGTCAGCTTGCTCTGGCACTAGAAGTGTGCATGTAAAAATTGTTGGGATTGGAGACGGTGCAGATTCAGATGAGCTCGATGACTTCGACGAGATCTTTGAGTCAGTGGAGCAGCACCATACATTCTGGACAAGTCGTGGTTGCCGGGTGAGCAGCATGTATGATTCAATGGGCTGGCACTCCGGAGACGTTCAAAGGGCAATTCGTGAGCTTCACAAGTCGACGAGCTCAAGTCAGGCGATTTTGGTGGTGGTGGGTGTGGGTGGCTTTCCAGACTGTGATCTTGACAATTGCGACCTTCCCGATGTCCCAAGTGGTGAGCAATTTTTTGCTTGGAGGCTTGCAGATGGGGAGCAGTTCTTCTTTCGTTCAGGTTTTTGCAGCTTTTGGAATGATCTGGGTTCCAAGGACATCATCCTGTTCTCTGATTCTTGCTACGGAAAGCTATTGTGTGAGGAGGCTGCAAGATTGAATGCGGCGTGTACTTTGTCAGACAGAGAAGAGTCTCCTTGTGTTGATGATGTGCATACCTACAGTAGACACACATGACAGGTAGTCCTTTGGGTGCCACAGGACAGTTCAATCATAGGGTGTTGGATAGGCCCCTGACTAACTTTTTGCATGTCGTGGTTGCTTCTTGTGTTTCAGGTTCAGATATGCTTGGATCTAAGCACGTCTGGTTTTTTGCTCCGGGTAAAGTCTATTTTTCCTACGAGTGAATCCCCTTTTGTGGAGTTGCCTTTTCCTTTTTCAGGGTTCCTCAAGCAAATCCAAGACGTGCACGCGAGTTCTCATTTTGAGACATGTTCACGGGCTTGACATATTGTTTGGCTGCCCACGCTGCTTAAGGCATCATCCAAGCAACCAGTGGCAGTCACAAAACTACCCTGCCTGAGCTAGTTGGTCTGCGTGATGACCCCGAGACCGATGATAGCCTTACAAATGATCCGGACACAGAGGATGAAGACCTGCAGATTGGGTGCAACAACGGCCAACATTGGATATTTCAGCAACAGTATTCCCTGACCCCTCGGCAACGTCGCAGATGGTTTGGCACACACTACTATCGGCTGGAAGAACCGGTGGAGTCCGACTGTCCTCCGTTTCATTGGTACACTGGAGCTTGAGGGAAATCATGGCATATTTTGTGTGTGTGTGTTTGGCATTCTGGGGGTGTTTCAATGGAAGACTATAGAGAAGTGTGTTGTGTGATTGATATAGTTCCGTTGGAAGCATGTTTTCTTTTACCCAACTGTGTGTGCTTATGTTTGATTAGAGTATTCTTCTTTCCTGTTGGTCCACAAGGTACAACCCATCTGGCCAAGAGTGTCTCACATTGCCAGGAAACTTGTCCGTTCGCTTGATTGGGAAGAGGGTGGAGCCCCCGGCGGAGGATGAGCGACCTGACGCTGATCGTCAAAATTCAGCAAAGGACTCTTTCCTGAATTTTGTCACCTGCTGTTCGCTCTTGAATTGGTGTGCCACCGCTTGGTTAGTCATGCAGATGCAGCATAGCTGATGTGTTTCTCTTGTTGTCTCTTGTTCTGAAGGTTGAGGGGCAGGCGATTGTTGCCCAGCCCAGTGGCCAAGAGGACTGGCTGGATGGTTTACATGAGCTGTGCCTGAACCGCCCCACGATCTTCACAATGCTGGAGTCACTGATGCGCGAGTTTCCAGAGGTGACGAGCAATCAACATGTGGCTGTATACAGTACTCGATTTATGCTTGTTTTGTAGAGTTGAGTGGGAATTTACATGGGGATACATGGGGGAACTCACAAAGTGTGTAATGTACGGGCCTGCGAATCTATACTTGGTTTTGCCTATATAGGGTGATTTCTATTTTCCCTATGGTTGAATCCCTTGTTCGGACATATTTAATTTTACGTTTTTTCCCGCTTCCTCAAGTAAATCCCAG